CATGAAACCTTAAATGCTGATTGGCTAGGTCCACCGTGCGAATAAGACTCATAAGAGCTTATTCACACGGTCTACCGTGCGAATAACCACTTCCTTGATAATAATGGGCAACCAGGTTGTGCCTGAATTGCTGCTGTCTTGTTGGTCTTTTAGAATATCGTTCAGTCCTTGTCTGGCAGCAGCCTGTTTATAATATTAGTGTTTAAAAACACTAACAAAATTATGCCTTTTTACCTCAATTGAGAGACCAGTGTGTTAGTCAAATTTAGTATGGCATTGGTAAAAATTATTAATTAATAATGATAGTATTTTTAGTATATGTACATTGGTAAAAATTATTAATTAATAAAGAATAGTATTTTTAGTATATGTACTGATTCAGCGATGATAATGTCTTGTTGAATAAAGTGCTGTTTTGTTTCTTAATTGTACTACAAAAACAGGTGTACGTGTACCAATTGTAAAATTATGACGACAAAAGAATCTAAATGCTGCAATGAGATACCAATCATTGTATCAAAAATGGAAAAGGTCGGCATGGCAGGCCAATGCATCACTACCCACCCTGGTTTTACAAGCATTTGCTTAAATGAGTGGGTACTTCAGATATCTTTCTTGTCTTACCGACAGCAATATGGTGACAGGGCTGTGGTTCCACATTCTAAGGAGGAGTGAGTATAATATTTGTATCATCCCTTTGCAGTACAGCCTTGGAAATTTACTCCTTAATCTACATTTTAAGTTGTCTTTAAATAGTACCGTGTGAGACAGAATGAATCAATGATGAATAAATAGTAAGACTATATTAGTCCGAATATTAATCTTCACAATATACAAATCTTCATAATATACAGCACTGTCTGTAGCAGGATAAACATTGCATACAATAATACTGTGTTATGGATGTTCTTTATGTTTAAAAATAACTTTTGTTATAATTCATCTGGAGATCGTGGGTTCGAGTCCCACCCGAGAACAACTTGCGATTTTTTTCGCAGTTGTTTTCAAATGTACTGAGTATTCGGTACATTTGCACGTCAGGTAGGGCAAAATTACACCTATACATGTTTCTCCTGACGCAAATCCAGTTATTGTCTATTATTCCATCACGACAATAACAATTACTATCAATTCATCTTATGTTATGTTGTGCTTTTTAACAAGAAGTATAGATACATCGCCTACAGAAATCTTGTGCAGAGCTGCTGGGGATTTTTAGGAAGAGAAAAGCTTGTGCCGTATTACAGCTATTCGACAACATTTTCCTAGCCCTCAAGATGAGGGATATACAGGCTTTAAACTTGGAAAATTAAAGGAAATTTAAATCTTGTATGATTATTAAATATTTTAATTAGGGGCCTAGGCCTACTTATTGAAGACTGAAAAGGCCGGCCTTTTCGCAAGTAAATACTAAACTAAAAGGTAGCGAGATGCATTCTCTACTAACTCATAGGCCTGCCCAGCCTACATACAGTGTCTTTCACTCATTCTTTAATGTAGTTCATGGATTGTTTATTAATTATTGAAATATCGTTGTTTGTAACTTGTTTATATAACGTGTTACCTTACAACTGTTGTATTTAATAATAATTCTAATATGTTATATGGACATGCCTACTACTCCATATGTACTTACATCTCGATATACATACTGTACAATCATTTTAAATAAACTTACAGTCGAAAAACATTTCAGTAGTAATCTTGTGTCGTTACTTACTGTGCATGGGCAAAATCCTATCTTATTTACTGTACGTAATTAAAATCATTATTCTTCATCATAAATAGTTCGTGTAGCAAGTTCAACAATGTTTACATGTAAGTTTTACGTTAGTAGAAATAACGACACTTGAGGCCATTAATAATTCATGAATGATTACATAATTTCATAATTATGTGGGTATGAATTTTTATAGTGTTGATATATTAATTTGCATATGCGGGCATATTAATTTTCATATTTTGCTGGTATATTAATTTGCATATGCTGGTATATTAATTTGAATATGCTGGTATGTTAATTTGCATATGTTGGTATATTAATCTATATATGGTTGTTTATTAATTTCCATAATGTTGAAATATTAATTTGCATAATGCGGGTGTGTAAATAATAACGATATTGATAAAATTAATATTAATTTCCATAATGTTGATATATTAATTTGCATAATGCGGGTGTGTAAATAATAATGAGAATAT